TGTCGTAGGTGTGCTCTTCTTGTACGAAAAGGACACACAAAAAGGTCCATGACATAATTTTTAAGGTATTTGGCTATAAGTTGACATTGAAAGTTTTTAGAACTTTGCGAGTTCATTTTCAAAACACACGCACACACGTATGTATGTACACTGGCAGGCAGTGTCGAGAAAGTGACTAAAACAAATATCCACAACGTAAATACACGCACGCACGCACTGGGAGATAAAAAAAGCAAAAGCTGAGGAGGAAAATGCATATAATGAGCTGATAGACAGCAACCAAAGAGGGAGGGGGCGGCGAATGTGGAATGGAAAGAGAAGGCGGCAAGTGACCCACACAGCAGACGTATGCCTCGAATTGTTTAAGAGTGAAAGTGAATATAAGAATTAAATGGCAACTGAAGAATGTACAGATTGGATGCTGTTCTCCCTACATTGTTGCATGTGTAAATGAGTGAGTGTGTGTGTGTGTGTGTAATGCGTATTCAAGTGCAGCACAGCATGGCATGGCGTACACAAACTGCGTTGTTTGGAAAAGTTTTCAATGAGTTTGTGGCAACGCTCACGCATAATGAAATACATAAGCAGGTAGTGTGCTTATAAGGGGCAACTAAGTATGTATGTATGTAGATGTGTTAATTTACTATATCAATATATGAATGTATGCATGCATGCCATTGGAGTGTTAGCGAAAGTTGTTTAATGTTGAAATAAGAAGCCCTACTACTTCAACACAACACTGATAGCAGCTGTTCCTTCAGCTGAAAGAAAATTGAAAAGAGGCGTGTAAAGAGGACATCAACTTGGAGCTCTGGGTATGGTTTGAGGGCAGTGACAGTGAAGGGAGGCGTTCAAATTTGCTCTGAGGGCCGTAATCGCGTTAATAAAATTTGCTATGTGCGGACAATATTACGTCGAAAATCAAAGCTGAGAAAATAATGAGCTGGCATCTACAGCCTGCGACAAAACGATTTTGAACAGTTTTCGACTATTTATCTTTTGTTTATTTGATGTTCACTATTTTTATATACAAGTATAGCCTTTTATCTAACAAATACCATAAGAATCCAGATTTCGGGCCTTGTGCAAAAATTATAAAAATTCCACAAACTTTTCATTCCAATTCCATTTTTTTTACTACTAGATTTAATTTTAATTTCAGGAATTTTTATAATTTTTTCGTTGACGGTATTACGCATTTCCTTCCATACAAAGTAATTTTTATATGGAAAAAAGTGCAAAACACTATCAAAAACACCGTGCGACAGTAAATTTTACACAAAAAATTTTATATATTCGCGAAACCATGTGCTAATTATAGTAAAACCGCGTTTTTGATTTTTCTCTCTCACATCAGGACTTTTTTTGAAGGGATTTGAAATTTGAAAAATATAATTACTTCAAAAAATTATTAAAAAAATTCAGTGCAATGCAGAAAAACAGTATGAATATCAAGTTAAAGGGAAAATTCTGTAGAATTAAGGCCGAATTAATTTTTTGGTGCATAAGGACGATTAGGTATTCATAATGTCCTTTTCACATTTTATCATTGAATATCCTTGAAATTTTACAATAATTCTTTTCGAAAAAATTATATATTAAGGACTAATATGCACTCGACCACATCCTCGAATTTGGTCCTTCTAACTTTATTCGCTTAAAAAAATAAAACTAATTAAAAGGATATTTTCAATACCTATTCGTGCTTGTGAACCAAAAAATTGTAATTTTTTTAATTCTACAATTTTCTCTTTCATTTGGTGCCCATACTGTTTTTCTACATATGAACGATTTTTTTTAAATAATTTTTGGAATTAATAATATCTTTGAAACTGCAGTCTTTTTAAAAAAATCCTGACGTCAGAGAGACAAACTAAAAACGCAGTTTTACTATATTTGGTCCACAGTATCGTGAGTATATTGATTGCTTCATGTGTTTCGATATTTTTTTTTGTTTTGTTTTTGTCGCACGGTGTAATCAACGCAATTTTTTAGCAACTTCAAACTGTCACTTTTTTAAACTAGATTTTAATAAGCTAAAAAACTGCATACCAAATATTAATTTAGAAATTCGAATTAAAATATTTGGATTTGAGAAGGTACGTCTTTCCTTTATGCCCTAAGATAAAATGTCTTCCGCCTACTACCGAAAATATAAACTTCCACTTTTCCTTCCTATTTGAAGCTATCCTCATTACCACCTACTTAGCCTGACATAGCACAAAAAATTTCTACGTATGTACCTAGAAAACACTTTCGAAGCTCCGTTCATCCAAGCCTGCCAAAATCTTTCCACTTTCAATCTTCTAATATACAAAAAAAAAAAAAAATAAATAATATTTAATCTACCAAATCTTCTACAAGCAATTAGTCTAATGTGCATTTTGCATGTCTGATAAATATTTTCTTGATGTAAGATGGCAGTCACAAATCTAGACACACACTAAGATTACCTAATATACAAACGTAAAACAAAAGTGTGGCACAACCTGCTTTGCTAAACATTAAATACCTTTAAGGCGTCAAATTCTAACGCACTCAAGACTGTGGGAGTAATGAAAAAAATAAAAATAAATAAATAAAAATAATGAAAATTGGCGCCGGCTAGCAAAAGTCTAAGTTTGACACGAAATCCTAATCAACTTAATTCTCAGTCGTTAGGCATGTTTTGCTGAGGCGACTGCTAGTAGGAAACTACCATCTCTAACCTCCACCACGAGGTCGTTCAACTCGCTTCAAAGTCAAAATCGTGCGGAACAGCTCCACGCAATTAGGCTTTACCGCAACAAAAAATAAATGAAATAAAAATGGAACTAAATGAACCCGATTTACTCGATAGTAGGGGGTGGTTAAAGAGGGGGCGAAGAAATAACAAATGAAAGAAGAAATGGTAAATGAGTGGCAAAATGTGATGATTTTTTCGTAGTGAGTTAAAAAACGCATTTAAAGTTTACTTAATCGGAAAATAGTTGATAATCGAAAAAATACAAATTAGAAAAAGGACAATTTAAAAAAATCGTTAGTGAAATATGATTACCCACAAAATAATATGATCAACACCATACAAATTATCGATAGCATATTTTATAAAACAAAGAGAAAAAAGGAACAAATATTCCTCAATGAAGTCATAATCGACCACAAATCAAGAGAAAAATACGAAAAAACAGCAGGGAAAAATCATATTTGAACCCTTAAAATTGGATCTCTATTCTTTCGATAAATTTGTTTATTTTATTTTGATTCTATTTTTTTCGATCATATGCCGTTATTTTCAGATTTAATTTCTTAGAAGACTATAAACGGTTTAAACGATTTAAAATTATCTAAAATAAAATGTTATCGATATATATAAATAATATTTTAAGAATAGAAAGTAAGCAGACTATGATATAGAAACTAGCCGTCAACAGAAATAATCGAACAAAATAATCGATGTCCAAATAGAGTAATCGACAACAGGTAAAATAATCGATAACGGAGATAAATCGAGGACAAAAGAAAATATCATATCGATAACAAAAGAATATCTACAGCAAACGAAAATAATGGATAACAAACGTAATGAAATAATAATATAATAAAAGAAAATAATCGAAAAAAGTCCAAATTAGAGAAAATAGTGAACTATATTCAAGAATTTTATTGATTATTATTTAATTCGCACATGGTAGAAGTTAAAGATGCTATTTCGGCCTCAAGCTCAATACAATTGTTCAATATAATAATTATAAGGCCACAAATAACAAAAAAAAACACAAAGAAAATAGTCAACAATAAAATAAAATAATCGATAATAAAAGAAAATAATCGATAAGAAAAGAATATAATCGATAATAAAAGAAAATAATCGATAATAAAGGAAATAATCGATAACAAAAGAAAATAATCGATAATAAAAGAAA